CTAAATAACAGGATTCTCAATTTTGAAGGAAAATTTTGTATTTTATCTACACGGTGAACAATCTTCACAGTGCAATCTAGACATACCCATAAATAAAATTGAAGTGTATAATTAATAGAATCAGGCGTTACTTTGCGGTAATCCATTATATTTTTTTTAACAGTGGTAGAGCCACGCGGCAGCTTTTGCTGTCGCACGGATGGGCCGGCTCGAACCGGGGTGGTACCACGACCTCACAGAACACTAGCGTGAAGTAGAGGTTTACCTCTGCGTTTCGCTTGGTGAGTGCAGGTGGCCGGAAGCCCTTTTTACTGGAAATGAGGCATTCCATCTTAGTCCTCACGGGTGACAACGCATCTACATTTTGATTTGTAACAGAGGATAGATGTAGATGTCTATGGGCCGCAGCAACCACTTACCATCAGGTGGACTGTGTGCTCATTTGTCACCCTTATCCCATAAAAAAAATATTAAAGCTTTTAAAAGTTACCTCGCAAACATCCGTTCGATAAAATAAAATAATGTGTCTTACCTAGTATGAAGAGCACCTCCCGCCCTCCCTCAATTGCGTGCACAATCACCGTCACCACTAACCCCAGCACGACTACGCCTAATAAAGTGTTTTTTTTTTTTATAGGATCGGGTGACAAACGAGCACACAGTCCACCTGATGGTAAGTGGTTACTGTGACCCATAGACATCTACATCTATCCTCAATAAAGACTCAAGATGCAGATGCGTTGTCACTCGTGAGGACTAAGATGGAATGCCTCTTTGCCAGTAAAAAGGGTCTCCGGTTCTCTACACTCACCATACGAAACACAGCAGCGTTAAGCTGCTATTTTACGCTGGTTTTCTGTGAGAGCGTGGTCCTTCCCCGTTCGATCCGACCCATTTGTGCTGCAACCATAATATAGCTGCAGCATGGCTCTACCACGTAGAAAATGATGTATGTATGTGATTTCGAAACAACTTTATTCACGTGGCAGCTATTAATTTTACAAAAAGTTTACTTATTACTTATTACTAATGCAATTATTTCCTACTTAAACTTCTTTTAAAAGTCTCACTGCAGGGCACACTCTCCATTATTTATGAGCTGGATTTTAGATCAATTAGTATCAGTGCTTGACGGTGTTTTGGACTTCACATGTCCTCGAAATATTTCATTCATTCTGCAAATGCTGATCATAAGGTCCCGGGTCGGGTCAATAAAAATCAGTTATTCTGAGAAGAAATTCTCTGTAGCAGTCCGGAGTCAGGAAGTTGGCGGTGTTTCACCCCCGTGCCTCGGAAAGCACGTAAAGCCGTTGATCCTGCTTACGCATACACTCGGGCACTATAATCCTGTCCTGCTCAGATGGTTAGTCTCCGTAGAGACTGGCTGTCGTGATCGAAATTCGGTCTGGAGGACATTATTACTCAGACATACAGATTTTCTCATGATGATTTATTTTCATGCCAAGCACGTGGTAAATCAGCATTTATTTAACGTTTTAATTAAACGCTCGATATAAATTTCACAGTTTTTATTACTAACTATTGAAACAACTCTAAGTAGTTCTTTTTTTTTAGGACAGAGTGACGAATGAGCTCACGGTCCACCTGATGGTAAGTGGAAACTGTGGCCATAGACATCTACACCTATCCTCTATTAAGAATCAAAAAGCAGATGAGTTGCTAAGGACTAAGATGGAATGCCTCAATTCCAGCTAAAAGTGTCTCCATTTCTCTACATTTATCATACGAAACACAGCAGCATTAAGCTGCTATTGCACTCTGGTATTCTGTTAGAGTGTGGCCCTCCTCCGGTCGAACCGACTCATTTGTGCTACAACCTTAGCATAATTGCAGCATGGCTCTACTAAGTATAAAACGTGCTTCATGCCATATACTTGCTGTAAAATGATTCGTAAGGAAAAACGAAGTGTTTTATTAATACGGAAAGACGCCATTAGATTTAGCTACCGCTAGCTGATAAAAAAGCACCTTAAAATTTCATAGTACCCGGGTTCAATCCCCATCGGCACCAAAAGTATTTAACACTGAACTGTGGTAGTTGTCTTGTTGATTATCTTATTACCATTACAGTATATTAAAGTCCACTGCTGAACATAGGCCGCCCCTGTTGCCTCATAGGGGGATATTTGCCATAGTTGCCACGCTTGGCAAGCGGGTTGTAGTTATTTTAGTTAATTTAGTCGTTATTAAGAAGACGCTGCTCCCCATCTCCTGATTTGTTTCCCTCTGTCGCCTCTTACGACACCCGCGGCATAATAGTGGATATTGTAACACCGCCAATACACTGTACCTTATTAATATCTTATTAATATTACATAATAAATGTTTGTTTGGGTATTTGTCTTTTAATCATGCTTGAACTTGGAATAGAAGTCTATAAGTCGTGAAATAGAATATAATAATATTTTTTGTTACTATAGTTACAGAATATATAATAGTACTACGTACTATAGTATAGTTCAATTTACTGCAGCGGGGCACGGACAGGAGAATGACATTTTAGCTTTTTTTTTTTATAGGATAAGGGTGACAAACGAGCACACAGTCCACCTGATGGTAAGTGGTTGCTGTGGCCCATAGACATCTACATCTATCCTCTATTACAAATCAAAATGTAGATGCGTTGTCACCCGTGAGGACTAAGATGGAATGCCTCATTTCCAGTAAAAAGGGCCTCCGGCCACCTACACTCACCAAGCGAAACGCAGAGGTAAACCTCTACTTCACGCTGGTTTTCAGTGAGGTCGTGGTACCACCCCGGTTCGAGCCAGCCCATCCGTGCGACAGCAAAAGCTGCCGCGTGGCTCTACCACTACTAGCTCCGTATTAATAAACGTTCCTCAACGACGAACCCAAGTGCCTAATCATTTGATACGCTCTCATTACGATATCAGCATCCTATGATCGTTGCTTACAAAACATAACATAAAAACAGTATCTCAATTACTAAGATTAGCTCTTCAAGACGCTGTACTTAGGATAAGTCTTCTATGACTTGAGGGCTTGATCTCGTGAATGATTACGTAACATTGACCGAAGTTTAGAATATCATTCATCACATTTCACGTTATTAATTTATTCTTTATAGCATTCCTTAAAACAAAAGAATACAAAGGGCGGGCTTAATGCTTTGAGGCATTCTCTACCAGTCAACCCATGGAGTGGTGAGAATTTGACGTAGATGCGACAATATAGATTAAAATAACACTACACAAAATGATAATTAACTACATAATACATACATTTTACTAATAAATAAACTATACATATATGACGTATACATACATATATACAAATATATGACGTTAATAGACGATAATAGAGGACTATAATGACGTAATAAGGTTGTTTTCTACTTAAAAAAACCTTAAATTGTTCAAGATGTTGCGTATGTATTTCTAAATAGTTTGGAAAATCCAACAGTTCACGGCTCATGGGCGTTTCATTTAATTGTGATAAAAAAATTGTAGTCCTGATATTTAAAATAATTATTATTTACGTGTATTAAATTTAGCGGTCTATTATTTTAATAGGTAGTGTTACCTACAGGAAAAAAAAATAATGCTTATTAAAATAAATCGATTACACAAAGTATAAAATCGATACAGGCTGATTTGTCTATCAGATGCTAAAAAATATATTACAGCGCCTATACATTTTTAATAGCAATAAATCTTATAAAAGTTGAAAATCATTTTATCAACAAACTACGCATTCTAGGATATTGATATAAATAGGAATCCAACTGATGTAATTCTGAAGCTAATAAAAAAAAACCGATCTTGATACGTCAATTTTTTCGGGAGTTATCGTGACCCCGTATAAAATCAACATCTGCGAAATTTTTTTTTCAAACCGTTTTTTTCCAAAATAGCAATATAAAATGATTTTTGCAAAATATGAGATGGATTAATTAGGGTGTTTTCTTGATAAACTGCTATTCATATTATCATATAAGTGCAATATGGTTATAATAGAGGTATTTTAAGAACACAAAATTGCTTGACCTTTACGTGTCGAGAGTAGAACACATCTATAACGTTTTGCGTTATGAGGCGTGCAATACGACTTAAATATTTATAACTTAATGCGTTACAAATAACATTGAAACAACAACGTCAGTTTTAAAAAAAACACCAAGCAACATCTGCTTGTTTAAAACGTAATGATTTTAAACTCTGCTTGTTTTCTTATAAAATCGCCGATCTCGCGTTATAATTTCATTTACAGAAAAAAAATTGACGAAAGCGTTGAGAAACAATGCTTTCTCGATATTATGAAAACAATATGGAATGGTGGAAAATAAGGAAGCCGAAGGCGCGTCTCAAAAGGATGGTAACTCAAAAGGATTCGAGGCAAATTTACAATATAAACCATTAGAATAAAATGTTTGAATAGTGATTTCTTATATTTACGCGGTCGCGTTTAATTTACTTATTTTCGATAAAGAACTCCGATTCCTACCAAGGATGATACGCGAGGCTATTGAAATTAAAAAAAAAACATCCTAATTTCAATAGAGAAGATGGCTGCCAAGCGGATGTACGCGAAGTAATTTTTTACCAACTTAAATTTTTGATGTTAAACATCTAAACACTTAAAATCTATGGGAAATATCAGAAAAATATTATGGTTTGGTTATAACCATCTCGTATTTTGTGCCACACGCAAAAAAACCCAGACCGGAAACAAGTATCAGTGTCAAATATGCAAGACATGGTAATCCGATCGCTAACCAAACTGCCAACCATGACAACTATAGCAAATATTAGGCAATATGTGGGGTGGAGGCATATACTCAGCTGTGGAATTTTAATCATCATCATCATCATTACAGCCTTTCACAAGTTCACTGCTGCACATAGGCCTCCCCCAAGGAATGCCACAAAGCACGGTCCTGAACCACCTGCATCCATCGACTTCCTGCATGTCTTACCAGGTCGTCACCCAATCTAGTGGGGGGTCGCCCTACACTTCACCTACCGGTACGAGGCTGCCACTCGAGGACCTTTCTTCCCCATCGGTGGTCGGTTCTTCGAGGTATATGGCCGGCCCACTGCCACTTCAGCTTACTAATCCGTTGGGCTATTTCGGTTACTTTAGTTCTACTGCGGATATACTCATTTCTAAGTTTATCACGCAGAGAAACCCCGAGCATAGCCCTCTCCATAGCTCGCTGAGCGACCTTCAGCTTCCTCATACGGCCAGCAATGAAGGACTACGTGTCAGATCCGTAAGTCATCACTGGCAACACACACTGGTTGTACAATTTCGTTTTCAGGTTTTGAAGTATGTCCAACGAGAAGATGTGTAGTAGTTTCCCGAACGCTGCCCAGCTGAGTTGAATCCGTCGATTGACCTCTCGGTCGAAGTTGGACTTACCTAGTCGGACTATAATTTTTCCCAGGTAAACATACTCGTCAACAACTTCGAGCTTAGTGCTCCCAACAACTACCGGCATAGGTGGTGACATGGATGTTAAACATGATCTTTGTTTTGTCCATGATCATCATTAAGACCTATCCGTTGGAAGACACTATTGAAGTCATTGAGCATAGTGCTTAGGTCCTCCAGCGATTCTGCCATAAGGACTATATCGTCGGCAAATCGAAGGTGAGTGATGTACTCGCCATTGATGTTAATACCGTATCCATTCCAGTCCAGTAGCTTGAAAACGTCTTCCAATGCAGCGGTGAAGAGTTTCGGGGATATAACGTCACCCTGTCTTACAACTCTCTGCAGTTGGATAGGTTTCGTACTCTGATTCTGTACTCAGATAGCCATCGTAGTACTACTGTACAAACACTTCAGCACTTCGATATACCGACAGTCAACTTGGCACCGCTGAAGGGACTGCAGCACCGCCCAAATTTCGACGGAATCAAAGGCTTTCTCATAGTCTACATACGCAAGTCAAAGTGGCAGATTATACTCCTCTGTCTTCTGTACAATCTGCCGCAGGGTATGTATGTGGTCTATGGTACTAAAGACTTTTCGGAAACCGGCTTGTTCGGGAGGCTGGAAGTCGTCAAGTCTGCGCGCGAGACGATTCGTAATGACTCTCGAAAACAGCAATTTAAACAGGAATTTTAATAGGCTGTAAAGAATGTATGAATAAATGTAGTATAAACTAAAAATACCTACTAACTTAATTTTATAATTTTTTCATAATTAAAAATATTATCATAAAATTAAATTTTAAATATATTACTAATATTATAAATATGAAAGCTAATTTTCTCAATCACGTTAAAACTGTTGAATTGATTTTGATGAAAATTGGGAATATTTTAAGTAATGAACCAGAATGAGACATACCTATTATGCTATATCTTTTACATTTAAATTTTTAGTCGATGCCTAAACAGATAACTTTTCATCAAGTCTATAAAAAATTTCTAAGCTAAGCTGGTAAACTAAGTATTATATATAGCTTAATAGAAAATTATTTCATTGTTTTTTTTTAGAATGAGGGTGAAAACGAACACACAGTCTAGCTGATGGTAAGTGTACACTATGGCACATAGACATCTATATTTATCCTCGATTGAGAATCATAATACAGATGCGTTTTCACCCTCGAGGACTAAGATGGAATGCCTCGTATCCATTAAAACCCCATTCGTCCCATTGAACATCGACCCATAATAGGCTATAGCTGCAGCGTGTCTCTATCACGTATAAACTATAAATTTATAATTTTCCTTTTACGTGGCATGACTTTCCTTATTCATAACTGCATATCATTGTTTTGCGTAAATCGTATTAACAAAATAAGACATAATTATGATGTCGATGCATATTCTGTCACTCAATTTTTTTTATAGAATAACAGTGGCAAATCTAATACAAAGTCCACCTGGTGATTAGGGGATACTGTGACTCTTAGACATCTACACCATATCTCGATAAATATTCAAAATGCAGATGCGTTGTCACCCCAGAGGACTAAAATGGAATGCCTCGTTTCCAGTAAAAAGGGTCTTCGGTTCTCTACACTCACCATACGAAACACAGCAGCGTTAAGCTGCTATTTTACGCTGGTATTCTGTGAGAGCGTGGTCCTTCCCCGGTCGAGCCGACCCATTCTCACCATACGAAATTGCATTGTTCTAAATTAACTCCGGGTATCCCAGCACTTGTTTACTGCTCTGATCTCTGACAATTACGCAAATGGTCGAGATCAGGACCAAGCGTAAATGTCAGCAAATAATCTACAAGTGTAAACGTGTAGGGGCGGTGTAAGAATACCCACTACCCCCATATCATCCAGAGGGTATCGTAAAAGGCGTCAGAGGGAAACTGAAAAAGGAGATGGGCATCAGCATCTTGCTGATAACAGTTCCATTAAAATAAAAAATTCAGTTGCCGACCCATCTGCCAAGCATGACAACTATAACTATATAATCTGTCTGGGAGGTCTATGTTCAGCAGTGGACTTTTAAAGGCTGTAATAGGTCGTTTAGTAATAAAGATACATAACAACTAATGGGCGGCAGCTATGACAAAATCGCCTCTATGGTGCAATCTATGGGAGAGGCCTATGTTCAACATCATCATCATCATTACAGCCCTTCACACGTCCACTGCTGAACATAGGCCTCTCCCAAGGAATGCCACAAAGCACGGTCCTGAGCCACCTGCATCCATCGACTTCCTGCATGTCTCACCAGTTCGTCACTCCATCTAGTGGGAGCTCGCTCTACACTTCGCCCACTCGAGAACCTTTCTTCCCTATCGTTTGACGGTTCTTCGAGCTATATGGCCGGCCCACTGCCACTTCAGCTTACTAATCCGTTGGGCTATATCGGTTACTCTGGTTCTACTGCGGATATCCTCATTTCTAAGTTTATCACGCAGAGAAACCCCGTATGTTCAGTAGTGGGCTTTTAAAGGCTGTAATAGGAGGTCATTTAGTAATAAAGATACATAACAACTAATGGGTGGCAGCTAAGGCAAAATCGCCTCTATGGTGCAATCCGTGGGAGAGGCTATGTTTATAAACTTTTTATGGTTTTAACGTTTAAAATTATTATAGCCCAAAATGTTGATTGCACACGCTACACACATTATTGAGACATATATATCTCTCAATAATCTGTATGTAACGTATACTAAATAACTATAGCTCCGTGACGCTCAAGGCAGATTAATTGGCTGATAATAAACGATCTGTCTTGAGCGTCACGGGCTCATAAGCAAATATTAGAAATATTTACCAAAGTCACGATGGCCGCACTAATAGATTTTATTAAAGTAGATAAAGGGTGACAAGCCAGCACACAGCCCGCCTGATGGGTAAGTAGATGCTGTGGCCTATAGACACCTACATGCACGATTAAAAATCAAAATGCAGATGCGTTGTCACCCCTGAGAACTTGAGCTTTCTACTGCTATTTTACGCTGGTATTTTTGGAGAGCTTGGTCCTTCCCCGGTAACGGAGTGTAACGGTATGTGATACGTAGTAAACAGTGGTAGGAATCCTGTTCGGCATAGAAGTCATGGCAGCATGGTAGTGATGACCATAGTCCCAGTTATTATTATAAATGTTATAATAACCCTTTTTAACCACTTCCAAAGAAAAGGTCAGAATTTCAAAAAGACCGTACGTTTTCCGTATGTATGTTACGGGATATCTTCCTCAATAGTGAACCGATTTTAATGATTCTTTTTTATTGAATAGATAGGTATAAGTAGGTAGGGTTTTTATTGGTAGGTTTGGATATTACCTCATTAGAGGTTCCATAAAAATTTGGAGAAAATATCATACCCATATAGCCAATTACTCAAACCACTAACGCTACACGATTTTAAGATGTCGTTAAGTCTCGTGGTATCACAGTCACTTTGTATTAAAGTGATAGAAATAGCATGATACTTAACAGCATTTTTAGAGATCTAGTACACATTGGGCGCTTGGCGTTGTGTTCGGCGCGCGTTGATATTTTACATACATCGCTCTCAGCATGGCGTTCGACGAGCGTCAGCAGGGCGAACCCCTAATAGCTGTTCGCTTTTGGAATTCATCGATAAACAAATCCGTATCAAAATGCTCACAAATCAAAATGATCTCCATTTTTGTCGACGTATGTCCACTCTACACGAATGCACGCGATCAAATGTAGCAAATAAGAAAATGGCATCCCATCTATCTAAAAGCGCGCGGCTAACACTTGCGCAACGAGCGCTCTAACCAACGTCTGACGCTTGCTTGAATAGAAGCGCGTATTGGGATGTGTACGGATGTATCGGAATAGATGGTTTTTAAAACGCCTGATGTGTATTCGCTCTAAAATTCAGCATCGTTAGAGTATTTGGGAATAAGGGTAGCAAAATAATTAATTAATTTTAAGTTATATTCCCGAAACTCTTTACCTCTGCTGTAGACGTTTTCAAGCTAGTCGACTGGAAAGGATACGGTCTTAACGGCAAATCGAAGGTGAGTACATCACTCACCTTCGATTTGCCGACGATATCCTTATGGCCGAACCGCTGGAGAAACAAAGATCATCTATAACGTCAATGTCATACCTATGCCGGTAGTTGTTGGGAGCACTAAGCTCGAAGTTGTTGTCGAGTATGTTTACCTAGGACAAATAGCCCGAATAGATAAGTTCAACTTCGACCGAGAGGTCAATCGACGGATTCAACTCGGCTGGGCAGCGTTCGGGAAATTACGACACATCTACTCAGGTATACCTCAAAACTAGAAAACGAGACAGAAACAAATAGTGCGTGTTGCCAGTGATGACTTATGGAACTGAGGTATGAGGAAAAGTTTTTCACTCTAGCACAAACTATAAGATCTATCAGAAGTGTATAATATGCTCATACTTTAAAATGGATGTAGATATAAAAAAAAAACAATTAATAAAATCAATAAAAAATGTTAGAAATAAATTAAAACAAATGAGGGATGAAGAAGATAATTTAGAACGTAAACGACATAAAATACTGAAATCAATAACCGATCCATTAGAGGCGATAGTTTCAATAAATGAATAACCAGAAAGAAAATAATCAAATGGAAGCTTCAAATGAGAATAATTATGATAACTTTAGTTCATGTACAAGTGATATAAGTTCAGATACTAAAGAAGAATTAAATGAAAGCATTTTTTTCGATTGAGAAAGGGATAGTGATATAAATGTTACTTATTAATAATGGATAATAAGGAGGGATAGAGATAGAGATAAAG